GGGTTCCGAGGGCTGGGGGGGGGGGGGTGTTTAGCCCCACGGACTAGACCTTATAATAGCCCTGGGTTAAGGGCCCAGCACACAGCTCCACACAAGGGGGAGATCCCAGAGGGGACTGGGGTTGGCGGGAGGGGGAATCACAGGAAGACACTGGCAGGGAGGGAGCACTGCAGGGATGAGTGCTTGTTGGGGGAGCAGAGGAGGTCAATGGAGTCCTGAGATAAGAGAGTCCCTGAGGGTCCGCGAGTGGGGGGAGGCAGGGTTCTCTCACCGTCGAAGTCGACGTGGCCATCCCCATTCAGGTCAACGTCCTGCAGGATCTCCTCCACCTCCTGGGATGGGACCTGCTCCCCCAGCAGGGCCAGGATGGCGTCCTTCAGCTCCGTGCTGCTGATCTCCCCGTCCCCATTCATGTCAAACTAGGGGGCAGAGAATTGGGTGAGCACAGGGTGGCCCGGCTGGGGGCGGGGTGCTCTCTGTGTCCCCACCCCTCTTCCCTTAGCCCATGTCCCCCCCCTTCTGCCTACACCCCCATACCTCGCGGAAGGCAATCTTGAGCTCACGCACTCCCACCATGTGGGCCGTCTCCTCCCGCAGCTTCGGCCCCATCATCTCCACGAAGTCCTCAAAGTCCACGCGCCCGCCCACTGCGTGAGAGACACAGCGATCAGCGCCCAGCCCCCACCGCAGGGAGAGGCCCCACACGGGAACTGTGCTGTGTGAGAGGCCGGGGGGGGACGGCTCTCAGGGGTGGGGTCCATAGGGGAGCCGAGTGAAGGGAGGGGGTCTCTCTGGGGCAAAGGCAGTGTGAGGAAACTGCGGGGTCTTTCTGGGCCACATCCCACAGAGGGAGCGATGAGAGATGGGAGGGTATCAGGGGCAGGGGATGGTTCCACAGGGGGGCCCATGTGAGACGTGGGGTGGTCTCCCTGGAACACAGGCAGGTCCAACACAGGGAGCTGTGTGAGAGATGGGAGAGTCAGGAGCAAAGAAGGGTCCCATAGAGGAGCCACGTGAGAGGTGGGGGGGGGAAATCTCTGGGGCAGAAGCAGGTCCTACAGGGAGCAGTGAGAAGGGGTGCAGTGGGGGAGGAACCTCTTGGGGTACAGCCAATCCCCTCTCCCCCCCCCCCACTTACTCCTCATCTTGATGTGCTGGGAGATCTCGATGAGCTCCATCTCGGTGGGCATGTAGCCCATGGTGCGCATGCAGGCCCCCAGGTCCTTGTAGCTCACGAAGCCGTCCTGGTCCGTGTCGAATTCCTTGAAGGCATCCAGCAGCTCTGCCATGGAAGGAGCCAGAGCTGCCCTCAGCAGTGTGGTACCCAGGCACAATGCACCTACCCTGGGCGTCCCCAAGGGGCTCCGGAGAACCCGACCACAGCAAGGTGAGAGCTGGGTCAGAACTATCCCAAGGGCCCCCAGTGCCCGGGGGGGGGGGCCTCCCTTGGCCACGGCACTGATGCCCACCAGTGCTCTGGCACCAGGACTCCCAGGGATGCATGGGGAGAGGTTGCACGACTAGCCAGGGCGCCCCCTAGTGGTTGTTCTCCTCCTAAGGGGAGCAGTGCCAGGGGGGGCTGTGCTACCCAGAATCCTCTGCGATCGGCTGGGTTTGCACGGAGACAGCCTAGCACAAGATGGAGTCACAACTGTCTGGGAACATCTAAAAAAATATAAATCCAAATGAACTCGGCCGCCCCGCAGGGCGGCAGGCACCGTGCCTTTCCTTGTGTTCCTGGCTCTTGACCCACACGAGAGGGGCATGGCTGAGACAGGCACAACCCATGGCCCCATCTCTGAGGGGGCAAACAGACGTGCCTGAGCCCCAGTGCCCCCCTCCAGAGGCAACCCCCCCCCACCTCCACTGCATCCAGGGCTCCTGCCAACTCACCATCCAGCTCTATCGGGGACAGATCCCTTTCCTAGGGGCAGAAAGAAAAGCAGGTGGTTAGCGCTAGGGATGAAGGGGGATAGATAGGCCCTTGGATAGGCTGCCTCGCGATGGAGCTGGTGCCCAGGATACCCCCCATACGCTCCACCCCAGGAGCCATGCCAGCGGGGCAGACAGGATCAGGAGCTAGGGCAGGTGAGAGCAGGAAAGGGCTAAAATTGCCCCGGGTAGAACAGGTCGCCCCCCTCCCAAAGCGAGCAGAGATGGAGGAGAGGGGCTCCGTGGCCAGGTGTATCCATGGCTGCCAAGGATTCGGGGAGCGCAGGGCTAATGGCCCTGCTCTCCTAGCCCCCCACTGCCCTTGGGAACTTGATCCCCTCAGCTTCCCCACAAAGGTGCCAGCCGGGAGCAGCGGGGGCAGCACGGGCGGAGTCACACATATCAGCCCCACAGCGGGGCCGGTGCCCCATGGCAGCCTGCCTCAGCCCGTTGGCCCCCACACGGCTCAGCACCTGGGCCAGGCAGCCCTCCTGCTGGTGGAGAACCAGTGCCCCCTTGAGGGGAAAGGCCCCAAGCCCACTTCGCTGCCCCCCCGAGTCAGACAGTCCCCCTGCTCCAGGGCTGGATTGGGGCTGGTGCCCACTAGAGAGGAAAGGCCCCGTGTCCCCTTTGCTGTCCCCTGAGCCAGGCTGTGCTGGGGGTGGAGGCGGATTGGAGCCAAGATGATTTTGGCTGGGCTGTGATATGCTATTGGTGAAATGGGCCCGGGCGGGGGGAGGTATCTCATTGGGGGAGGGTGATGTGAAGGGTACAGCCTGCAGGGGAGGGGGCAGGAGGGGCTGTCACCGGGTCACCTTCATTTAGAAGCCACAGAAGCGGGTGAGAAATCCCAGCCCAAATTAACCGGCTGAAGCTGGGATTAAGGGGATTGCAGCAAAGCTGTGCTCTCCCTCAGGCCTTGGGCCTGGGTCAATGGCGAGCCCCTCTCCCACCCTACACGCCTGCCCTCCCGCAGGCCCTGTTCTACTCCTGACACACTGCCCTTCGCAGGGCCCTGCTCCCCCTCCGTCCCCTGAGAGGCCCAGCTCTGCTCCCCCATCTCTGGCAGGCACGGCCCTGCCCGCCCCACGCGGGAGATAATGGGATTGGTAGGAAGGGCTATTTATACTGTCTAACCGGGGTGACAAGGTGCAGGCTGCAGGGCCGCTGTTAAGCCCCATGGGCGCCGAGCCATGCTGCAGCCCACACAGCCACCGTGGTGGTGGGCAGAGAGGGACCCCAGGGGCTTGGCTCCTGCCCTCCAGGCTCTCAGCCCCCGGGAGTGATGGGCACCCAATGGGGCTTCCCTGAATTGTGTCTGGGAGCGAGGATCCCTGGTCCACCAGGGCCTGCAGTGCCCTATCCCCACCACCCTTGGGGACTCTGAGTCTGCCCAGCCCCTCCGTCTCTGGGGGAACTTGGGGGTAGGGTGCTCCCCACAAAACCGTGCTGCTTCCCATGGCCTCATCCTGCTCTGCCCCCCTGCCCAAATCCAGCTCTCCTTGGGTACTTCTACACAGCAGGGCTAAATTCGCATGAAGCTATGCAACTCAGCTACCGTACCCATTTCACAGCCATCCTACCCTGCTGTCCCATCCCACCCTAAGTTCTCCCACCATGATCATGCTCATCCAGCCGTGGCCTGCCCACCCCACCCACACAACCCAGCTAGCCATGTCCCGCCTCACCCCAACCAACACTGTCCAACCAGTCACGCCCCCCCCACCTCTCACTGCCCCCTGCTGCCGCTGCCCCTCCTCTCCCAACCCACCCCACACCTCACCTGCCCACCCCTTCTCACACCGCAGCCTGGCCCTCTCCACTTCTGTATTCCCCTGGCACCTTTTTACCCGCCCTGCCCCGTCTTCGTGCCCATATTCCACCCACCTTCCCAAGCACTCAACCCCTGGAAATCCACCCCCCTCCTCCTGTACCCACACACCCACACCCTCCCTCAGCATCCATATCTCTGCTGTGCCCTTGTGCCTCTATGTCCTGTCCCATCCCACCCTCATGGCCTCATCCCACTCTGTCCCCCCAGCCCATGTCCAGCTCGCCTTGGGTACATTTACACAGCAGGGCTAAAGATGGATGAAGCTACGCAACTCAGCTACCTCAATTGCGTAACTTAAATGGAACTAGCTAAATTGGACACAGCAGGAAGAGGAAGGAAGAGCCCTCTTCCTCCTATTTCCCTCACTCCTCGTGACATGAGGGTTACAGGAGTCGGAGTAAGACGTCCTCCGCTTCAACATTATTTAGAAATAAAGACTTGTAGTGTAGACACGCACAACGTTATTTAGGAATAACCTCAGTCATACCGAAATAACACTGCTGTGTAGACGTACCCCTTAAGTCCTCGTGCTGTGCCCCATCCCTGCTCCCACTCCCGTGTACCCATCCCTGCCCCACATCCAGTGCCCCCATGCCCCACCTCAGCACCCTTATGCCCAGTCCTGTACTGGCACCCCCATGTTCTGCCTCCCTGGTGCCCCCATCCTGCTCTGCCCCCATCCCAGCCCCTGGCCCACACACCCTGCCGAAGACGGTGTTGAGGAAGGGCGAGTAGGCCTTGGTGGCATCAGCGTGGGCGTCAGAGTGGTGCTTCTTGTTGTGCTTGCGCCCGTGGCCGGAGTGCAGGCTGCTGTGCGACTCAGAGCTGGGGGTCTTGCTGGCCTTCTGCTCCTCCTTGTCTTTCGGGGGTGCCTGCCCTGCCTTGTCCGGGTCCTGCCCCTCTTTGCGTGTCTCCGACTCGGCCTTACCTGGCCGCTTGTGGGGCATGAGGCCGGGCACTGAGGCACAGCAGCCGGCTCCGGGACAAGCTGCTCCAAGATGGGCACAGAGCGAGGGGACCGGACGGGAGGGTCTTAAGAAGGAGTCAGAGAAATCCTCTTATTTCCCCACCCCCGCCCCCAGGAGTGCCAGGGCTGCGGGGCAAAGCCAATTAGCTGGGATTACAGGCAGGAAATGGGCAGCTCAGCCACTCCAGCCCCACCTGCATGGACCGCTGACCCCCACTGGTGCCCGAGGTGTGCCCTGGCTCCCTGTCTCTCCGTGCTTCCCTCCTATGGCTCTCCCTTCTCCTTGCTTCCCTTCCCTCACCACTACTCACAGCTCCCTGTCCCCTTCCCACCCACGGTCCATCCAGCTCTGTGTTGCCTGCCCAGTGCCTCCTCGTCCATGGCTCCCCTTCCCACAGCTCGCCTGTCCCCCACCCACTACCTGCTGCCCCCACCTCTGCTCCCTCACCCCCCGTCCCAGTTTTCACAGCCTGGCCTAGAAGCTTCGCTGTACACCCAGCCCCACACACCCCTGGGCCACCGCCCAGTCCTTCTTGGAGAAACTGGGGTCCCCAACTGGGTGGGGCGGGTGGTCTGGACAGCATAGGCTCCTCCCCCTCCCGCATGTCACAGGCGCTCCCTGCTGCAGAGGGCAGGGCTGGGCATCACAGGCTCTTCCCCCTCACTAGTGTCACAACGCCCTCTGATCGGAAGGGCGGGGCTCGTCAATGCAGGCTCCTCCCCCTCCCTGGTGTCACAGCGCCCTCTGCTGGGGAAGGCCCCCTATGTCAGACAGAGCCACTGCCTCTGACTATCCAGTGGCAAAATCCACTATAACCAAGATATTCTTCCCCTACAGTGTCCATTGCTAACACGTCTCTTGTATCAGTGATACTGGTCAGACAGAAGTATGCTCGTAAGGTTTCGCAGCAGGGCTCTTGTTGATCCCCCTGGAGCTTCCCTGTACCACCTTCCTGCCTCTTCAGAAACCCTTTCCCCTCTTCTCCTCTCTGGGGTTCCCTCCAGGGGCAGTCCCTGATGCTTCCCAGAGTCCGGGCTGCTCTCTGCTCCAGGCTGGCAGCTGCTAGCCAGGACACTGTCTTCCGTTCCAGGGGTTAATTCCTCTGCTCTGCTTGAGACCATGCTGCTTTCCCTTGCTCCCTGGCTGTTGGTATAGGCCGTTCCCACTCCTGACAGCACACCACTTCTTCCTGCTCCACTGGAGCTGATCTGCTCTTTCTGGCCCTCCCCGTGGCTTCTTGGTCTTTCCCATTTCCTTCTGGGATCACTTAGCACTCTGCACTTTCCTGGCAGGTCGCGGCATTTGCAGCTATCATCAGTGTTCGGCTAACGTTTCCCTTCTGCTGCCACACACTCCAGAAACCCCACTTCAGGGACCCACCAAACTTCCTCAAAATAGGGGGGGGACCATGAGCACCTGAACTGTGGCACTGTCCCTTTTTTCAGAGCCTCCAGCCTCCACCTGCTCCTCCCTGTCCCGTCCCTCCCTCCTCTGTCACTCACCTTTATGGCTGATAACAAGTGATCCCCCGTTCCAGACCCTGTCTCCAAATGCAATAAGAGGCACAGGAATTTTCTATTGTGCCAAGAGATCTACGCTTCCTCCTTCCCTGCAGCATGTCAAGGACCCTGACTATCCATTCTCTGACCAGAGAAATAAATCTGGTCGCCACTGTCTCTTCCCCCTCAATGTCTTTATCATTCACCTTTCATAAATTCCACACCCACTTCCCATGGTGGAGACCTCACAACTCTCCACAGGCCTTTCCCAGGTACCTCTACGTGAATGACAGCTCTATGAACCTGGGCAGGACAGGGTGTGGGTGTGACACAGAGACCCGGTTGTGGCTCACAGGCTGTGTCAGCAACTCCTGTCACTCCTCACCCGCTCACTACACCTACCACATGGCTGTCAGGTAATAGGTCCAAAAGGTGGCAGGTATGGTATCATGAAAATAATGAACAGCTCTCTGGTCATTAATATCCTTGGGTGAGGTCAGCTTGGGGCTGGAGCAAGAGTTATAAATTTGTGCCAGCAATTATGTTCCTAAAATGTGTTTGGCAAGCAATGCATAAATCCAGTCTGTCCTGCACAAAGGAATGGGCATTTCTCCGACCAGCCTCTTCCTCAGACAGTCAAGGAAGGCACCTTTACATAAAAATAAACAAAGCCATCAACCTAGCGAAAGGGGGCAACGAATCTAAGTGATAAAGACAGGAAGTCTGGCCCTCACATGATTAGTAATTGAATCAACTGATTGTCTACAATATTACAGCGGTGGAAGTAACTTAACATTTCTTACAGGTACTGTCCTATTGCAACCTGGGTGTTGGCCAGCTCTTTAAATAGCTCCCTGCTGGCTTTTGCTTCAGCTCATTCCAGAGCTGCACACCAGGGTGTACCTGCTAACTTTCACCTCTGCTGTCTTACCGAAGTATATCTATCAACATAAGTCTTTTATGAAAGCCAATGACACACTGGTGATTAATAGGCTTGTGAGAAGCCTGGATTAATGCTAGAAGAACTCTGGATACTCGCTGATGTCGTGCTTTCAAATCTGCAGCCAGACAAAGGGAAGAAGTTTTCTCTCAAACAGCAGGGAAGGCAGCTGCCCATGGTACAACCTTCCACAGGCCTTTCCCAGGTACCTCTGCGTCAATGACAGCTGCATGAACCTGGTCCAGACAGGGTGTGGGTGTGACACAGAGACCTGGTTGTGGCTCACAGGCTGTGTCAGCAACTCCTGTCACTCCTCACCTGCTCCCTTTCTCCAAGGAAACTAAGCAGCGTGTGACCAAAAACAATGAAAGCCCCATTTATCTCAAACAACAGGGAGATGGGAAGTCCACATGATGAGATGAACACCCTGAGTCTGGGGAGAAAACAGCGAGTTTGGGAAGATCGAAGGAGACGGAAGAAGCCAACGTGGCATTGATCACTGGGCAGACCATAAGGGCTTGTGAGCTGAGAAAGATAGGTCTTTCCACAAAGGGGGCTGATGTCCCTGGGAACTGAACAAAGGTGAGAAACCTGCTTAGACAAAGCTCTTTCACCTAGGTAAGACCAGAGGCACCAGCGTGTTGCACTTCTGTAGAAGTTCCTGGTCAAGAGAGTGAGGCATAGCTAGAGAGGAAAAGATAGGTAAGAAACACACAGCAAAGCGCAGCCGTATCTCCTAAAGTCTTAGCCTCTGGAGAGTGCAGTTTGCTTTTATGTGCTTCTCGCCACTTTGTCTTTATCCCTTGCACCTGAACTCACCAAAACCCTCTGTCTCTTTGCTAATTAACTTGCTGTACTTGTAACCGGAACGAAGCCTGAGCCGTGTTCGACTCAAAGTGATTGCTAACTCCAGGAAAAGCACAATGCTGAGAGCTTCTTGGTGAAGGAGCAATGAACTTTCTGACTCCTCTGTGTGGTCCAGTGGAGAGATGGATCCCTCCCGGCAGATAGTTTAGGGAAATTTTGTAACTGGGAGGTGTTGGGTCAACAGGGGGTGCTGGGTATAAGAGGCAAGGACAGGCACTGCCTTCCCTGGGTCTTAGTGCCCCAATCACTCGCCTCTTCCTAGCCCTCTTCTGACCCTTCTTGCAGGCTCCCAGAGTGGGCTGCTGCGTGGGAATCTTGGATCTAGTAACTTAGAAGTGAAAAAAGTCTTCCGGCCTGCTAGACCTAATAGCAGAACATTATACCATTAATGAGCCATTTAATAGGCACTTGCCAATCCCCACTGTTATATATTATCGGCTTCTGAATTTGCTGATAAACTTGTGCAACTCTAGTTTCTTTTCAGACTGTACAAAGCTAAGCCTTTTACTCAGAGCATGTTAGTCGACAAAATTTGCTTTAAAATATGACATTAGTGTGTGGCTGAAGATTACAAAAATCACATCTCTAAAATATCCTGGCATAGATATTTAGATGCACAATCTGAGTATTCTTTAGCCTTAAATGCTTGGATCTTCAGACGTAGTTTTTAAAATAAACCATTCAAAAGACCACCCTTAATCTAAAAGACACATTTTAATAACTATAGTATTTAATTGCTATAGTATAGAAATACAAAAAGCATCCTTCCAAATGCCCCTTTTCTTCCAAATAGTTTCCTTTTCTTTACTTTTGACAGTTTGATTAACCGGTTTTAAGAGAAAAAACCATCCAGCAAAATCAGCACCTTTTACAATGTCCTTTGTTATCCCTAAAATAGTTGGAAATATATTTTTATTAAGTTGGCGAAATTTCATAAGTATATTGTTATGGAGATCAAACAAAGTCAATTAGTGTTCCCTTTTTCTAAAAGCAATAAACACGGTTATGAACACATTAACCCCCTGGCTTTTAAAATGTCTTTATTTCAGTGAGTTAAATGTGTAGCAACCTGGAATGACTATTTAGGGAAGCTGAAGAGTACATTTCAAATCTAAAATCAGCTTAGACATACTGATGAAGAAAATGCAACACAAAGAACTGCATTATGTATTCCATAATCGCTGGATCATCGGGTTGGAAGAGACCTCAGGAAGTCACTGAATCCAACCGCCTTGTGAAAGCAGGACCAACTCCAACTAAATCATCCCAAACAAGGCTTTGTCAAACTGGGACTTCAAAATCGCTAAGGATGGAGATTCCACCACCTCCCTAGGGAACCCATTCCAGTGCTTCACCACCCTCCTAGTGAAATACTGTTTCCTAATTTCCCACCTAAACCTCCTGTAGCCAGACACAAACCCCATCTTGTTTTTCCACGAACCCCATCTTGTTCCCCGCCCCCAGAGAGCAAGAGAAAGGCAGTCAGCCGTTGATGCCCTGGGAACGCAGGTGTGATGCCTGTCCCTGACTCTACCATAAACAGAAACCAGACAGTAAATGGGCTAGCTGACGACCCAGGGCCTCCCACTGCCCTGATGGCTAGTACTAGTAGTTGACACGCCTGCACTGTCCCAGGAGAGGAATCTTCGCCCATCACATACCAGAGGTGCCCATTGTCTGCATTTTCCCAGGTGTGAATTATGCTTTGCACCCTTCGT